GTTTATCGGACGCTTCTGAAGTCGTTTCGTGTTTGGATTCCATCATAGGCACACGTGGTTCGCCCCCGTCAGTGTCCATTCCATCCGCGTCTCCGCCTTCTGGAAACGAGAGGGTTTATCGCTGAGATCGCGGATGACCCGCGCGTCGCGATGGCTCGATCGCGACTGACCGCCGCGGGATGCGCCGCGCACGCGCACCGCGCACTCTTGACTCGTCCTCTCGAGGACCTCGAGGTCACGTGTGTCCGGCCTGAATGTGGCATCCGGGCGAACCGCGGGTCCGCTCGGAAGAAAGATGTGTGTAACCAGCGGGCGGCACCGATGCTCGTAACACGGACGCGCGAACGAGAGTCTTCGTATATAGCTCTTGCTATAGTTCTATCCTCTCTCATTCTTCTTCTTCTTCTTCTTATTCTTCTTCTTTTTGGACCTAGACGACCAATAATCGTGTCTCGGGGGTTGCAAGGGTGTCTCGAACGGGGTTCAATGTATACAACACGATAGGGCCGCGAATTTGTTGGACTGGCGCTACTTGTCGGAATTTCCAGTACGTTGCTAGCGAGAGTGTCTCGTACTGGTACGAGCAAAGGACGAGAGTGTTACTCTGTTTGGCACTTGGCTGGCTTTTGAGTTCATTCACGTTCCGTTCTTCTCTTTTCTTTCTTTACTTCCACTTCTTTCTCTCTCTGTGTCTGTTTATCTGTTCAGTGTTACTTAAGCTCTTTAGAGAGTCAGTTCACCTCGTATTTTGTACATAACTCTCTACACAACGTCTCTATAAAAGAAAAACGTCACAATTTTCTCAGAGACTGTTCTTCCTTCGTGGTACGTCGAGAAACCACGATAAAATCCACTCTCTCTCCCCTTACGAAGATTATTTCTACCTTCGATAGATACCTATTTCTGTTCTGGAGGGAATTGATGTGTACACATGCTAGGTGTAAGATCGACTTGCTCCGCCGGATTACGTAATATCGCGGCGTGCTAGCGAGGAAGAACGCTTCTAAATTTGTCCCGAGCCAGACACACAAGACCGGCCCGTCCGATGACATCGATTTTCGGTTAGTGTTCCGCTTTCAAAACACGTCCGGAGGTGTCCTCGCCCCTCCGAGACCGCCTTTTCGAGGCCCAACCAGTCACGATGAGCTATTATAGCCGAACGGGACCTTATGCAATCGATTCTACGTCTCGTCTTCGTCGTTCTGGGTCGCTTGGCGTCTCTTCTTCACCCTCCCCTCTCTCTCTCTCTCTCTCTCTCTGACTTGAGCGTATTCTACGTCTCGTCTTCGTCGTTCTGGGTCGCTTGGCGTCTCTTCTTCACCCTCCCCTCTCTCACTCTCTCTCTCTCTGTGTCGTGGCGAGTTTTCTCGAAGCGGTGTGTCGCACGTGGTTCGCGCGCCACGTGCTCTCTCCATCACTCTTTATACTGTTAACTGCTGCACCCCTTTCTCCCCTGCTGTCTCTCCTCGAAAGGTCTCTCGCGGTGCGGCACTAGTGCACGGATTTTCGTGAACAAAACACGGGCATTATGGAGAAGAAACGGCCGCGTAGGGCGGACACGGTGTGTGCCAGAGAGAAAAAAATGAAAATAAGGTCGTTTTAGGTGTGAGGTATACGCGCGTTCGAGGGAATTCGCGAACGGAGATTCGAGGATTGTTCTGTTCTCTTAGGTTTCGCGACGTTCGAAAGATTCGTTTTCATAGTCATTGAGAGTACGTCAGGATCTTTACGTTGAGAATGACGACGAACGACGAGATCAGATCGGACTGAGGAAATAGTCGAGATACTCGCGGGAGAAGAGTTTCTTTCTTTTTTTATTAGAAGTCGTTGGATTCCGTTTCTCCTTTTCGTCTTCTTCCGTTCGGACTTCCCCTTTCGTTTCTTCCGCCCCGTTCCGATTCTCTCGTGGCCGGGGAAAACGCGTCGCGTATCGCGCAAATCGATGGTATCGCGTGGTAGGCGTGTTTTACGACAGGCGTTCGGATGCATTCTGATCAGCCTAGAGGGAACGTTAGGTGTAACGGAGAAGTTCGTCGCGTGTCGTGGACCGCGTGAAAAGGTGCGACGAAACGCCACGACGATCGAGAAATCGAGAGCGGTGAAAGAAAGGAAAAACTAGAGCAAACGAAATAAAAAGGAAAAAGAGGACTAGCGCGAGAGCGAGAACGATGCGATATTCGTTGCTGCTGAACGGAACTATTAATCGTGATCAGGATATACGTAATAGGATGTAAGGCTTATACGCGTGACAAGATGAATTTTGTGTCTATTTTTAAACGGAACTTGTTCGAGTTACTTCTAATTTAAGAGTCGCGCGCGCGTGCTAGAGTGTACTGTAGAGAAAACGAGAGAGAGAGAATGAGTTGAAGCGAGAGTGAGATTGCGAGAAAGGGTGACGAGAGGATGCTTCCACAAACACACGTTCGTGAAAAAGAAAAATCGTTTAGCGGTGGTAGACGTACATAGTTTCTAACTTATTAGTAGCTTTCGATTTTAGTGGTTACCCGGGGCGAGTCGAGCGCGACTAAACGCTGATCTAATTGAGTCGAAAGAAAGAAAGGATAAAAAGGAAAAGGACAGGAAGGAATTCGTTGATAAATTTGTACAGCGATAGAGCGATCGTTTACTACCCTGCTTAAGATACACTCACGATAGATCTTCCTGGATCCTTGAAAAGAGAAATGAAAAAAGAAAGAGAAGGACAACGAATGTGTCGATAAATATTCGACGAAAAAAAAAAAAAAACGAAACTCGATCGTTTCGCTTGAATTGAAAGGAAAAGGAAAAATGTCCGTTGTTTCATCGACTCTGAAGATCTATCTGATGGTACTTTAAGCAAGGTTCCCTCGCGACGATTGGTTATAAAAAAAAAAGAGCAAATCGGTACACGGTGAACCGCGTGTGAGGCAGCGATGAGAGCCGAGGGGCCGAGCGAAATGGCCGAAGCAAAAGCATCGTACGCTATCGAACGTGTCATCAATCAGAACACTAGGTCTCGGTACTCGTAACTAGGGAGTTGTGTGAGGTACAAGTCCTGGCCGGCAGGGCGCGCGAGGTCCACCCCCAATCCCCGTACTTAATAACCCTTGAATTGTGCTGAAACAAAAGAAAAAAAAAAAAAAAAACAAATTTTTTAAAAACTTGCAAAAAAAAATACGATGAAATTTTTTGCATACACCGATAGGAAACGGAGAGAGGCAGGAGGACGAGAGCCCCTCAGCTGGTGCCCAGACCGAGCCTCGAGAGTGCTCGGAGCTCCTTGACCCTGGAATTAGCATTTCCTACACGCGAGCCTATACACGTGCAACAAACACACATATACACACTTACCAAACTAATATAAATATATATATACACACACACACACTCGAAAGTACATTTACGTACAAGCACACGGGAGACACACAGAGTCGTTATGAATCACAGAAGTTTTACGCCAGTTGACACTCGCGAATCGTCTTCGCGAGTGTTCGCCATCAGTTACACGGTCCACCGGCGTACGCACAGACACACTCGCCATTTACATTTCGAGAAAAATGGACGAACACACGATCGAGGCTGTTAGAATACACGCACGCACACGGTGTGTATAGATCGGGCAGGGACCACAGGGGAGCAAACGTTTTGCCCCTGACGGCAGGTACGTAACAAGGAAACAGGGTGAAGGGCTAATAAGGGCACCAGAACCGTAGGAGAGACGTTCTCCGGTGCTCCTCCTGCTCGTCGCCACACGTGACAATCTCGTTTGGCGAAGATTACACGGGTACCGGTGAAATCCGTGAGAAGAGAATAGTAAAACAGAGAAAAAGAATTGAAACGCAAGGGTGTACGGAGGTCGGAAGGTGGGCTTCGGCACCAGTCGGTCGGAACCCTAGTTACGAGTGCCGAACCTAGGGTCGAGAGACCTTGGACAAAACAAAACACACTGGTCTCTCGGCTTTTTCTCTCTCTCTCTCCTCCCCTCAGATGCACGTTAAGCCACCACCCCA